AGAATTTACCCTATGATCCAGTAATTCCAGTAAATACTGGGTATTTACCCAAAGAACATGAAAACACTAATTTGAAAACATATACACACTCCTATGTTTAATGCAGCATTATTTACAAGAGTCAATATATGGAAGCAACCCAAGTGTCCATCTACAAATGAATGGATAAAGAAGACATGGTGTATATACAATGGAATATTATTCAGCCATAAAAAAAGAATTAAATCTTACCATTTGCAACAACATGGAAAAGAGCCAGAGAGTATAATGCTAGGTGAAATAAGTCAGTCAGAGAAAGACAAATACCATATGATTTCACTCACGCGGAATTTAACAAACAAAAAAAGAATGAAGGAAAAAAGACACAGACCAAGAAACGGACTCTTAAACAGAGAACTGGTGAATACCAGAAGATGGGAGGTAGGGGTTGTGAAACAGACAAAGGGAATTATGAGTACACTTAACTTGATAAGCCCTGAGAAATGTATAGCACTGTCGAATCACTATATTGTATACCTGACACTGTCGATTATGCTTAAACAAACAATAAAATTAAATGTAAAAAAACACACAAGAATGACAGCAAAACTCAGTCTTCTAAACCTGCAAGGAAGACGGAACAGGAAGGAGTCACTATCAGTCCGAGGCGGTCACTTCATTTAGAAATGTAAAATGGATAAACATTAGGTAACAGACTTGGGTTTTGACATTCTCTGCTCCAAGGACCCACAGTCGGGGACAAACCAACAAGAACGTGGAATATTCTGGAATTGGATGTGCAGCCTACCACTGAGGGCAGGGAGCTTTACAGTGAAGCAAAAACAGAACGACTGTTTAGGAAAATACTGGGACCCTCAAATCCCTCCCCTCCCCAGGCAGCTGCTCCTCTCCCACTTTATTCTATTGCTTAAATAAACCAAAATTAAAAGCCACTGGATTTAAGATACCTTACACAAATACGGGTACCTTACAAACACAGGAGGATTAAGTGAGGGTCTGTGTACAAGAAGGTAGACTCAGTGACGGCACGGACTTGCCATCTGTTTGGTCACTGCTGTGTCCCCATTCCCTACAAGGTGCCTAGCACACAGAGTGTACTCAATAAACATGCAGCAGAGGAGTTTCAGAGAGGAATTTTTACAATCTCCAAGAAAAGAGAACATCAATATCATGGATAGAAAACACGACAGAATATAAAAATCTGAACATCATGGGCACCTGGGTGGCTCAGTCGATTAAGTGTCTGCCTTCGGCTCATGTCATGATCCCAGGGTCCTGGGATCAAGTGCCACATTGGGCTCCCTGCTCAGCAGGGAGTCTTCTTCTCCCTCTACCCCTCCCCTCTGCTTGTGATCTCTCTCTCTCGCTCTCTCTCTCACACACACACCCCCACCCACACACACACATACTCTGTCTCTCAAATAAATAAAATCTTTAAAAAAAAAAAAATCTGAACATCAATCCAGGAGATTCAACATCTGACTAAAAGGACTATCTAGAATGGAAGAATAGAGAAAACTGGAAAGCAGGAGGGATTTACAGAGAAAGAATGCAGGATGTTTTGCAGAACTCAAGTTTCCTGGTTAAAATGCCCATCAGCACAAAAAATGAAAATATCATGGACTATGAATGAAAAGATTCTGAGATTCTATCTAAAAGGTATTTTAGAGAAAGCTCACAGGAATCAGAAATGAGAATGATACAGGACTTCCACAGCAATCCCAAAGCTGAAATATAATGAAATAATGTCTTCTATACTCTGTTGGACATGGTTTCCAACCTAGATTCTACACCTAGCTCAAAGAACAATCAAGATTGAAGATATAATGAAGACATTTTCAGACACAGGAGGTTCTCAAAGTTTACCTCCCCCATATCCTCTTTCCTCTCCTGCTCCTGAGAAAAGGCAACAGGAGAATGAATTCTACCCAGAGAGGGAACATAAGGAAAAGGGAGTCTTGGCATCCAGGAACAGGCAGGGCTACACTGAGGAGCGGACAGGAGAATTCCCAGGATGAGGGCAGAGGGAAGGCCCCCCACGACAGCTGTGCACGGGTCTGCAGAGAAGCAGGTCAGAGGGCGGCAGGGGATCCAAGGGCGCTACCAGCAGGAACAGTTAAAAAAACAAAGGAAAATAAAACTTTTGGTGGATCTGTATGTCCAACTGTACCGAAGTCGGTTCATCTGGGGAGTTTGGGGGTAAATTAATGACAAAAACCAAAAACAGCCAGTAAGTGTCTTTTCACAATTAACTCTAGGAAAAACAAAAGGTTGGATGAAAAAAAGAAACATAACGATAAAATACGGCATGGCTGAGATACCAAAACAAATAGCTTTTGTTAAGTAACCACATCTGGGTAATCAAATGCACATGAGAGACGGGGTAGGAATCTGCTATTTTCCTTATAATACCCGTAAGATTAATACTTTCTAAACTATAGACAAATTGCCTTATAAAATAGAAGTTAAATTTCAAGAAAAAATTTCATCCAAAGAACAACCTATTGTAGACAGTGACTTATCTCATGAAGGGATTATAGATCTTTGGAACAAAAGCATTTAGTCTCACAACAAGAGAGGATTTAGATTTAGATACAAATTTTGCAAAACACTAAGGTAGGTTTTGAAAAGCTAGTTCTCTGCTTAAACTCTTACAAGAAACTGAAATCCATTACATCATGAATAAAACTACAGCACATCAATGCATGTCCTTATGACCTCACCATTCTGCTTTAGCCCTTGTCAATGAAGGGAAAATTAGATAATCAGGCACTTAGTCTCAAATCTCAAAAGTAGCCACCAATAAGGATTAATTACATTACATTAATTACATTAATTCAATAAAAAAAATTCTATTTTTAAAATCAGCCTTGTATGTAAATCTACCTTGTTTTCAAATGAAGCAGGGGTTACAAACTAAGGCGGGGGAGGCCCCAATCCAACCTGCCCCCAGCTCTGTAATACCTACCAGCTAAGAATGGTTTTTATGTTTTTTTTTTTTAATGGTTAAAAAACAGAAAAATCAAAAGAATAATTTTGTGACACATGGAAAAAAAAATCATGAGAATTCAAATCTCAGTGTCCACAGGGAAAGGTTTATTGGAACACAGCCTTGTTTGTTAATGTTTGCATCTACGGCTGCTTTTTACTGACGGTAGACAATGTGTGGCCTGCAAAGCCTAAAATCCTTGCTATCAGGTCCCTTTCAGAAAAAAATTGTTGACCCCTGAACTAGAGGATTCTAGTTTTGAATTTCACTTGAAATGAAACTGAGTCAAATTCATATATAAAAACGTGCAGAGGGGCACCTGGGTGGCTCAGTCGTTAAGCATCTGCCTTCAGCTCAGGTCATGGTCGCAGGGGAACTGGGATCGAGACGCCACCCCCCCCACCCCGGCATCGCTCAGCAGGAAGCCTGCTTCTCCCTCTCCCAACTCCCTGCTTGTGTTCCCTCTCTCGCTGGGTCTCTGTCAAATAAATAAATAAAATCTTTAAAAAAAAAAAAAATGTGCACAGAGTCCTTGAATCAAGAGATGTTTGAATAAAGAACCTTAGAGACAGTCTACACAACCCTTAAAAAAGTCCAGAGGGATTTAATGGTTTGCTTAGGGTCAGTCGGGTAAATGGGAACAGAATCAAGGCTGGAGTCTGATCACATGGCTCCTCTCTTAGATAAGCATCTGTCCCCAAGTTTTAACCCTAAAAAACTCCTTGGTTCGTACTCTACCCTTCAACTTCTTACTCAATCACTTATTTTGTTTTAGTTAAAATGTGCCTTTCAATTTGACGTTTCCCAAATATTTAAAACAAATTCCTGCTGATATTTACTTATGACTATGCCAAAAAAAGCAGCACAGACCACTGATGAAGGACAGTCTTTAGGGTCAGGGAGACCCAGCTTCTGGCTCTGCCCCTGGGGAATCGCTCTGGCCCCAATAATCATCTGACCTTCTCTCAACTTCACCTGTCTCTTCCTTAAAAGTGAGTGTGTGCCTAACTCACAGGAGTGTGGTTAGACTGAATAAAATGGAGGATGTCAAGAACCGAATGTACTGATGGTCACAGAATTCAGAGCTCAAGAAATGTTACCTATTGTACACTGTTTCATGTCCCGATTTTGATACCCATCATTATCCCTGAAGAGCTTCACAGGTAGTGTTCTCAAACTTCACTGTATGTAACAATCACACTGGTGAACTTGTGAGTGCAGATACCCTCAGCCCCACTCCCAGTGACTCTGATTATTTAACCTGGAAAAGGCAGGAATCTGCATTTCCAAGCTCAAGTGTGATTTGGATACAGGTAGTCCATGGAATGGAAACAGTGCTCCTAGATAATGAAAAAGATACCGAGAGGTTAAGAGACGAGCAAAAGCTTAAGTGATCACAGCCTTAATTAAATACAAAATGGCAAGGAGTGAAGGAGTGCTAATTCCTTTGGCTGTTTTTCCTTCCACAACAGTCCTAATTTTTTTTTTTTTTTTTTGCCTTAAACTTATGTTGGGCCCCATAAGTTAATGTTATATACAATATGAAGATTATTTCCCAGTTTATAAAGGTTAGGACTTCCAGTTATACAACCAATTAAATATTTATGGAACTCAAAAAGGTCAGCACTCAGGTCCCCGTAAAACTCCAGTTTTCCATCCTGGATTTCAGCCACACCACCTGTTATTGTCCCCAGAGAATTTAAGGCTGAACCATTTTACTTATTGGTATATTTGCAAACAGAAAGAAAAAAAAAAAAACACAGAAAAATAATATGTATTCCGACCTTTCAATACAAACTGAAACAAGCTAAAAATGTGGCTAAACACAAGCATGCAACTATATTCTACCTTGAGAAACCCCGATGGGGAATGAGTGTGAAGCAAATCGCATGCAACAGCTGCCCCTCTGGGTAAGGCTTTTCCAATTAAGTGTCAATTCCAAAACCAGCAACAAAAACAGAGCTGACAGTGGCAAGAGTTTCAGCACGGAAATGTACAGGTTCGAAATTACCTTGCTCCAGTCTAAAGCACAGGGAACGCCTTGCTGCTTCCATCTCTGGAGTCGGGTTATCTAGGACGTGTCTACACCACTGCAAAGGGCTCAGGGATTTCTCTGATGATGTGAATGTCTTTGAAGAGCCAACGTATAACCTTAAAAAAAGAAATCTACATTATAGGTATTATATAGGTATATAGAGATGACCTCCCTTCTAGGGAAAACAACATGTATTTCACAGTTTCTATGGAAACAAAACTCACATTGGATTACTTCAAATACCAAAAGTATTTTTTAACAGGCAAATACCCCAAATAAAATGTGATGCTTTCTGTAGCTCGGTGGGAAGGAGGACTTCACAAAACTATGAGAACTTAGGTCTCAGAGTCAGAGATCGGAGGCTTTTGTTTTTGAACCAGCCTTGAACAGGCACTGTGATCTGACTACCTCACTTGTGTTCGTACAAAGGAACACTTTCATCTCTTGTCTCTGGCAGCAGAAGGCTACAGTAACTGGGCTAATGTATGTAAACATGACACGGCAAACAAGACAAATTTTATGTGCTTTAAAAAAAACAAGTCTATAAGTGAAAGGCTATTGATTCTCTCAACTCTTAAATAATCAGATACCCCCCATCTCAAATCTGTACTAAACTTGGTATGTGCTTCTTTCTCACAAAAGCCAAACAGCTTCCAAAGATAGGTTTTAGGAAAAAATTGCTTTCAGCATCTATACTATTACATAGTAATGGGTAGAATTCAAAATAACCACCACGAGGCACTTTAAGTTAAAGGTTTTCTCTCTGATATATGGTACTAAGGTAAACTACAGAATATTTTCAGTCACAGGGTTATACAAAAAGAGTTAATCTTTTCAGTTGACTAAAAAAAGAGAATTATAATCCCTGCTTCTAGTAATTAACTTTATTTACAAAGCTGTATTGTAATTACAAATCGCATTAAAGTAACACTCCTTTAAACAAAGTTACCATAATTCTAATGAGTACATATTCTTGAAATATCATGCTTCATTATTCACTCTCATACCCTTATAGTCAGGAGCCCCCACCTGTCAAGATAATTTCTCAGCTATCCAAGACGGTTGAGGAATGGTACTATTCTTCAGTAAAATCTTCTTACAGATCAGAGGTTGGCAAACTTTTTCTATAAAGGGGTAGCTAGTCAGTATTTAGGCTTTGTGGGACACAGTCTCTGTCACAAGCCCTCAATTCCACCACGGCAGCCCCAAAGCATCACAGATGACATGTAATGTGAATAAGTAGGCTGTGTTCCTATAAACTATTTATAGACACGGAAACTTGAATTTCCCGTAATTTTCAATGTCATGAATTAGTATTCTTCGTTTTTTTTTTTTTCAGTCATTTAAGAATGTAAAAATCTTGCTGACCAGCCATACACACCATGCCGCAGGGCCAGCTTGCCCCCAAGACACAGTCTGCTAACTCCTGTTACAGGTGCAGATTCTAAAATGTCGTTTAATCGATTCAGGAGTAATCCTAATATATCATTCTTCCCTTGGTGGACCACGGGCCTCCCTTCATCAAGAGTATATGGATTATTCGTGGGCCCACCTCAGTCTACTCTGACAAGATTCATACCTACCTATGTAAATCCATCCTTTCACCTTCCCTTGCTCAAAGACCCCTGAAGAGCCCAGTGCTGGGTGGGTAGCTCCGCTTCCCCAAGTAAAGGCTAGTCTAAGTCAGCTGTTCTCAATCTTTGGTGCATCGAAATCTCTTAGTGGGCTTGTTAAAACACAAATTGCTAACACTCGACTGCAGGCAGGTCTAACCTACCCGACTCAGAAGGTTTGGAATGTGGTCCAAGAACGTGCAGGTGTAACAAGTTTCCAGGTGATGCTGACGCCACTGCCTGGAGCCCTCACCTGGAGACGGGCGCGCTGGGCTAAGCCGCCCTGAGGCACTCCAGCGTCCCTGTTCGCCCCATCACTGGCATGAGCGCAAGCCCTGGCCACAGTTCTAGCCACTGAAAACTAGCAGGAAGTACCCAGATGAGCAAGTTTCTCCTCATTTCTAAAGTAGTCACAAAAGACCTAAGTATATGCTGCCTACAACATATGCACTTTAAATATAACCACACGGGTGAAAAGTAACCACACTGTTAAAAGTAAAATGCCCACAACGAAAAGCCCAGGCCCAGAAGGTTTCACTGCTGAATTCTACCAAATATCAGAGAAAAGAAATTGAAGACCAATATGCCTCATAAACGCAGAAGCAAAAAATCTGGATATTTTAGCAAATGGAGTCCAACCATATATAAAAGGGGTACTTCATCATTACGAAGTAGGGTTTATCCCAGGAATGAAAGGTTGGCTTAACAATCAGTGTAGCTTACCACAGAAAAGGCATATGATAATCTCAACAACAACAAAGCATCTGACATCCATCCCTGATAAAAACTCTCAGCAAATTAAGAAGGAAACACATTTGATCTGATTAAAGGCATCTACAAAAACAGCATTTTTAATAGTGAAAGACTGAACGCGCTTCCCCTAACATCAGGAACAAAACAAGGACTAGAGGTTCTAGCTAGTGCAATCACGCAATAAATAAAAACATTTAGACTGGAAGTAAATAATCTATGTTTATTCACAGATTACATGATTATCTATGTAAAAAATCCGAGGAACCTACAAAAAAGATACTCGAACTAATGAGGGAGTTTAGGAAAAAGACTGTAGCATACCAGAACATACAAGAGTTAAGTGCATTTCTATACTAGCCACAATCAGTATTTTAGAAATTTCACTTCCCATTTACACAAAAACCATAAAGGATAAATCTGATAAAGGATAGCAAGCCCTATAACGCTAAAAACTACAAAACATTCTGAGAGAAATTAAAGATATAAATGGAAAGACAGACCATGTTCACGGATCAGAAGACTAAATATTGTTAAGATGTCGATTATCCTTCAATGTACCCATTTAACAAAATCCCAAAACTGAAGTTTTCTTGAACAAGAAAGTTCAAGTCTTTCTTGAAGAAATGTGAAAGCTGATTCTAAAATTCATATGGAAATGCAAAGATCCTAGAATAGTCAAAACCACCTTGAAAAAACAATGAAGTTGGAGAGCTACCACTGAGTGGGACACATTACAAAGCTACAGCGGTAAGGACAGTTTAGTAGGACATGAAGACAGATCAATGGAGAAACAAGATGGCCCAGAACTGTACACATACGGAAAACTGATTCTTGACAAAGTATAAAGACAATTCAATGAAGAAAAGATAGCCTTTTGAGCAAATCATGCTGAAACACATGGATATCTATATACAAAAAATAAATTTTGAGCCATACTTCACACAATATCCAAAGTTAAAACAGATTTACAAAAATGTCAAACCTGGAACTATAAAATTTTTAAAAGAAACCATAGGCAAAGTCCTTGTGTCGGCAATTATTTCTTAGAATTTCTTACATGGAAAAATATCCATAAAAGAAAAAAATTTTTATCAATTGGACTTCACTAAAATTAAAATTATAACTTTGCTCCTTGAAAGACACTAATAGAATAAATGATAAACCACAGATTGGGTAAAAATATTTGCAAATCACATATCTGATAAAAAAAACTTTTATGTACAATATACATAAGAACTCTGCAAACTCAGTAATAAGCAACCCAATTTTTAAAAATGGATAAAAGATTTGAACAGACATTTCACCTAAGAAAATCTATGGATGGCAAATGGCACACAGAAAATATGCTCCTCCTTTGTCATGAGGGAAATGCAAAGTAGAACCACTCTGAGGTACTACACACCTATCAGAATGGCTGAAATTAAAAAGACTGGCCATGGCAAGTATGATGAGTGCAACTGAAACTTTCATACGGTGCTGGCATAAACATGAAATAGCCTAGCCACTTTGGGAAAGATTTTGGCAGCTTCCTAAGAAGTTAACATACACCTACTCTCTGTTCCAGCCTCTCAACAGCATTAAGTATTTATCCAAAAGACATGAACGCATGCGTCCACACAAAGGCTAATTTGTAATAGCCAAAACTTGAAAATGGCCCAAATGTTCATTAAAAGACAAATGGATAAAAAAAAAAAAAACATTGTTATATCCATAGTCTAATAGTTCTCACAAAAAGGAATGGACTATTGATTCATGTAACAACACAGAATTTCAAATTATCTTGATTGTAAGAAGCCAGACCAAAAACAAATGAAAAATGGTACATACTATATAATTTCACAGATATGAAAGTATAGGAAAATGCAAAATAATCTAGACTGACAGAAAGCAGACCAGCGGTTGGATGCCTTGATGGGAAGTAGGCAGGAGCAGGAGAGAGGGAATACAAAGGGCCACAAAGAAACTTGGAGCATTAAGATATGTTCACTCTCTCGACTCTAGTGATGGTTTTATGGGTGTGTGTATATGTCAAAACCTAGCAAATAGTACATTTTAATACATGCACCTTTTACTTCACTTATACCTCAATAAAGCTTTAAAAAAAAATTAACGAGACAGGAACTGTTTTGTGTCCTTCAATGTCCTTGAGACTGGAGTAGCCATTCCAGGTGAATCAGGTAGATTCAGGTGAAACAAACAAGCAGGTGCCCCAGCCCTGACATAAAGGAGCCACTAAATCAGTCAACCACGGAAACTTACTTATTTTATTTGTTTTAGAGGTGAGGGGAGAGACAGAGATGGCAGGGAGAGGGAGAGAGAGAGACAGAGAATCTTAAGCAGGCTCCACACCCAGTGTGGAGCCCAACACAGGGCTTGATCTCACGATCCTGAGATCATGACCTGAGCCGAAATCAAGAGTCGGCTACTTAACTGACTGAGCCCCCGGGTGCCCTTTATTTTTTACTTACCTTCTTTTTTTTTAGAGAGGGAGAGAATGGAACTTATCTTTAGACTTCTTTAGTAAGTTATCCCCACTGTTTGATACACACACAAATTCATGTCACTGCCTGAGTCTCTGCTTGTTCTCAAATGCCTCTCAAGGCCTCCTGAAACTACTGGGTGAAGCACTGTTCTGCTCATTACCTCTAGCATCGTAAAAAGAACTGCTCATATCTTCTATTAGCTTCCACCAACCAGGTTGCCTCAGGATTAGGTACTCCCACCAGTTGGATTTTTTTCTGGTAGTTTCT